CAGGGGCCCTTTAAAACAGCCTCTTGAGGCCTTCTTAGGGCCACCTTATGGCCCTCTTGGGGCCGTCTTGGAGGCCTCGTGGGTCCGGCTTGGAGCTCTTTTGGGCCATCCACCTGGATGCCTCTCCCTGTGGGCCCTCAAAACCGCCTCATGGCGCCCTCGTGGCGCGAACTTGGAGCGTTCTTGGGGCCCGCGTGGAAGCCTCTTGGGCCTGGCTTTGAGCTTTCTTGGTCAGTTTAGAGGCTTCAAAAGCCCATCGGAAACGATAAGGCGAGAAGGCTGCAGGCACTGATGTGTCAAACCAGTCGGTCGACTACCTGCGCCAGGAAGGCAGGTGGAATCTGCTGGCACGCCAGCCGTCCTTGTAAAATACCAATGCACCCCGCAGATGCGGACAAGAGTGATTGGGGCGGTGGGGACGTCGGCAGTCTGCGAGACTCTGGAAAAGCCCGTCGCAGGCGCCACAGTTTCACAAATTATGCAACGAGCCTGCCGCAGGTGCCGATTTTTTCGTTAAGCCAATGTGGGAAGGTCGCGGGGTGGGTCGCTGTTGGTTCGCGGGTGGGTTGCGGGTGGGTCGCGGTTCGGTCGCGGGGTGGGTCGCGGGTGGGTCGCGGGGTGGGTCGCGGGTGGGTAGTTGGTGGGTCGCGGTGTGGGTCGCGGGGTGGGTGGCGGGGTGGGTCACGGGGTGGATCGCGGGTGGGTCGCGGGGTGAGTAGCGGGTGGGTAGCCGGTGGGTCGCGGGGTGGGTCGCGGGGTGGGTGGCGGGGTGGGTCGCGGGGTGGATCGCGGGTGGGTCGCGGGTGAGACGACGATACCAAAAAACATCAACGCAAAAACGCAACGCCGCAACAACGCAACAAGCAGAGTCCTCACCACGGATCCCCTTTTCAGCCACGTACCCAGGGACAATGAATGACCGTTCGGCCCCCTCACTCTGACAAGATGGTACCAATACAAGATGGTCGAGTGGCGGCCGCGCATGCTCCAAATGTGAAGGCAGAGTGCGGCTCGGATTGCTCCCCACATCCCAAGTGGGGCTTTTGTTTTCTCTGGACACCCCGCGCAGGAACAAGAACACCCACTCTCTTCTCATTCACACACACACTCACACACTCATCATCCCTCACACACTCATTCACACACTCATTCACACATTCATGATGATGATGATCATCATCATCATCATCATCATCTTCATCATCATCGGCATCATCATCATCATCATCATCATCATCATCATCATCATCATCATCATCATCATCATCATCGGCATCATCATTATCCTCACCATCCTCAACCTCATCGACATCAACATCAACATCAACATCATTATCATCATTATCATCATTATCATCATCGTTGTCGTCATCATCATCGGCATCAGCATCAGCATCAGCATCAGTATCAGTATTAGCATCAACATCATCGTCGTCACCATCATCACTCTCTCACTCACTCATTCACCCACCGACCCACCCACTCATCAACCCACCCACACATCATCTTGCCAGAGCTCCACAGGCTTGTATCTTGAGGAAGTACCAGTCGGGAGCCTCGTCTGTGTGTGAACTGCGAGGACGTCTCGACCGGGAGCCCCTCCCGTATGGGGCCCGCGGATCATATCACCAGTCCGAGCGTGTCATCGGAAATTTGTAATTGTCGACACTTTTTAGGCTCCTGAAGCTTGAATATGGAGGAAGTATCAGGCGGGAGCCTCGTCTGTGAGTGAACTGCGAGGAATACTCAAGCGGGAGCCCCCTCCCTATGGGGCCCGCACCTCATGTTGTTAATCTGAGCGGGTTATCGGAAACGTCGGCTCCCCCTTCCTGTCGTCTGTGTGAATTACGATGACGTCTCAAGCGGGAGCCCCTCCCCCTATGGGGCATGCAAATCATCTTACTAATCCGAGCGGGTCAACGGAAACCTATAGAAGTCGTTACTCTGGGGTTCCCGAAGCATGAATGTGGAGGAAATATCAGGCGGGAGCCTCGTTAGTGAGTGACTTGCGCAGAAATCTTAAGCGGGAGCCCCCTCCCTATGGGGCCCGCACCTCACGTAACTAATCCGAGCGGGTCATCCTCAGGCTTGAAAATGGCGGGAGTCTCAGGCGGGAGCCTCGTCTGTGTGTGACTTGCAAGGAAGTCTCAGGCGGGAGCCCCTCCCCTATTGGGCCCGCAGATCATGTCACCAATCCGAGCGGATCATCGGGAACTTGTAATTGTCGCCATTTTTGGGCTCGTGAGGATTGAATATGGAGGAAATATCAGGCGGGAGCTTCGTCTGTGAGTGAATTGCGAGGAAGTCTCAAGCGGGAGCCCCCTCCCCTCGGGGCCCGCACTTCATGTTTGTATTCCGAGCGGGTTATGTGATCCCTGTAACTGACGTCACTGTTGGGCTCCTCAGGCCTGAATCTTGAGGACGTCTCAGGCGGGAACCTCGTCTGTGAGTGAGTTGAGAGAAAGTCTCGACCAGGAAACCCTCCTTATGGGAGCCCCAATGGAATCTGAGCGGGCCGCCGGCAAACCTGCAACCTGGAATCCGATCGGGCTCTTCCGGCCTGCGTATGAGGGAAGTCAGACCGGGGACTTCTCGACCGGGGGACCCCCAGGAGGGACGGAGGGAACGTGCCACGCGCATGCGGAACATGCTGGTCCTGCGGCCGCCCTCGAGAGAGTTTCTGTAGCGCGGGCCGCCGGCGTCCTTGCGGAAGGCGCCCTGGGAACTCGACAAGGTGGTTGCGAACTCCAGGGCTGACGCGAGCAACTCGCGACAACGCTGGGCTTTGTGGTGCCCCCCGCCGCCCCCCGCCTGAGCTCGGCCGAGACTGCCTCGAGACTTGCGGGGTTGTCCCAGCGGCTTGTTCCCGCGCCCCAGCGGTTTGTGCGGTTGTCCCCACGCCTTCGCCCACGGGGCTGTCATAGCGGCCCCACAATCCGGCCGTCGGAAAACGCGACCATGCCAGCCGCGGCGGCAATGGCTCCAAGGAAAATCGACTTGCCCTGGCCAAGAGACAGGAGAGATGCACGGGAAAACGCGCAGGAGGATTATCATTTAGGGAGAGTGAGGGGGGCGGCGAGGGGGGGGGAGGAGGAGAAGGAGGGGGGGACGGTGGGGGAGGAAGGAGGAGGAGGAGGAGGAGGAGAGGAGGAGGAGAGGAGGAGGAGGGAGGGAGAGAGGAGGAGGAAGAGGAGGAAGGAGGAGGAGGAGGAAGGAGGAGGAGGAGGAAGGAGGAGAGGAGGAGGAGGGGAGGGCGAGAAAAAAAAAGGAGACGGAGGGCGAAGATGACGAGGAGGAGGCGGCGCAACAAAGAGCTGGAGGAGAGTCTCCGCCAAGGCGTGTGGGAAAAAAAACGAAGGGCAAATTAAGCATATTTTCGTGCGGGGTCTTAAAGTCGGAGTAGATTTTGATAGGGATGGCGGGGGGGGGCGCTTGGCGCCCGCTTGGCGCCTACTTGGGGCGTTCTTGGGGCCCGCGTGCAAGCCTCTTGGGCCCGTTTTTTTTTTTGTTTGTTCTTTGGGGGGGGTGGGGGGGTAAGTTTGGGTACCTCTAGGAGGTTTCAAAAGCCCGTCGGAAACGATACGGCGAAAAAGGCAAAAACCACTGATGTGTCAAACCAGTCGGTCGACCACCTGCGCCCAGAAGGCAGGTAGGATTTGCTGGCACCATGACCGTCCTTGTAAAATACCATTGCGCAAAAACATGTTCGCGGGGAGGCCGCGAATGCTCCAAATGTGGAGGCGGAGTGCTTTTTGTATTGATTTCATGACATGGATGGTTGGGGGGGGCCCTCATGGGGTCCTCCTCGTTCCGGGTTGGCTGCCGGCCGGGTGGGGGGACGGGGAGACGCCCAGAGGGCTAGTGGGATTAATTCAATGGGTGCGCGCATCACACAAAGAAGGTGCGTTCAGCGTGCACCCAAGATTCCGAGCCTAAACCTGACGACCACTGGGTCATTAACCCGGAGCGGACGAGGAACGGGGACAGACGTGGGCATCGGGTCTCCCATTTTCGGCCGAGCCAGAAAAAAAGGTCATGAAGTTGCGTCACCCAAGTTGATTCGGGTCACGATTTTGTGTTTTTCAGCCGAGAAAATATGCAATGTTGTTTCTTTAATTTTCTATTAACAAATGTGTTGTTTTTGAGAAGTTCAGCAGGCATCGCGCACCCCTTGAAAGGGTCTGCGATGCCTGGTGGCCTTGTCAGAGATGCGAGCATCCTCGCCGCTCGGGCGATCCAGGACAAGGTGGCCTGCAACCCCCGGTGTGTAGAAACCGCATGCGACACACAGCACACAAGCTCCCGAGGAGACCCAGCAACGATGGCCTCGAGTGGAACGGGGATCGACGATGCCCCTGCCGGGCAGGGGACACGCAGGGACTATGGAGAGCGCGAGGGATGGTCGGCCGATGATGCCTACTCTCCTTCGCTTACCATCAGATGACGTGCCAGGCACAAGAGCAGGGCCATGACGCTCTGTTATGTAGCTGGCATGTTCTATTCCCTGTGAGAGCTGGCGTGGGTCAGGAGTCCGCACCTCCACTTGGGAGGAGATATGCGACACTAGGGCGAACTGAACGATGGGCTCCCGAGGGAACCGCCACGTCGAGGCCGCTATCGCCCTTTCGCTTGTGCTGTGGACCTACCAGCCCTACACCTCTAGTCTCCTGAGCAGAATCTGGAAAGATAGACGACCCCAGCCTGCGTTAACTATCTTCAACTGGTTTCTCTAGTCCTGCCTTGGGTTTATCACGGGGCCGAGTTGGGGCTCGGCCAGCACCCATATGAAGCAGGTGAGCTGTGACTTGACACTCAAGTGAGGAGGAGGAGGAGATTGAGGAGGAGGAGGAGGAGGAGGAGGAGGAGGAGGGTCGAGGGGGATGAGGGCCGAGGGGGAGGAGGGGCGAGAGGGACGAGGTGCAACGGGGAGGAGGCAGGCTATCGGCTCCGCGAGCTCGAAGCCCGGCCCGCGCCTCGACCCGCGCCTCTGGCGGCCAGAGGTCATCCTTCCAGAGACCGTGAGCAGCGCCTCGGAGCTCAGCGTCGAGGCGGGGGCTGGCGGCGTTCGCGAGGACGACGACGACGACCACGACGACGACGACAACGACGACGACGAGGACGACGACGACGACGGCGGCGATGGCGACGGTGACGGCGACCGGCGACGGCGATGGCGACGGCGACGGCGATGACGGCGACGGCGATGGTAGCGGTGGCGGCGAGGCGGTCGCGAGGAGGGGGCAGGCAGCTCAGAGGAGAAAAATATACCGATGCCGCTGCTCGTCCTGCAGAGCCCTCGTCGCCACGGCCAGATCCGCATTGCTTGGCATTGTTTGCATTTCGGGGCGTTGCTTGGCATTGCTTGGTATTGCATGCCATGGCTTTGTATTCCTGGCGTTGTTTGGCGCTGCTTGGCATTGCTTGGCATTGCTTGGCAATGCTTGGCGTTGTTTTGCATTGCTTGGCGATGCGTGGCATTACTTGTATTTCGTGGCGTTGCTTGGCATTGGTTGGTATTGCTTGGCTCTATTTAGTGCTAGTCAGTACTTTGTATTGCTTGGTATTGCTTGGCACTGTTTCGCATTGCTTGACGTTGCAGTAGAAGGAGGGCAAGGAATAAGACCAGGGACCAGGGAAACAAGACTAGGGACCCCGAGGAAGACAGGCAATAAGGAAGGTCATATTCTTCGCTGGTTTGGCCCAGTGTGGTTCAACTCTCGGTGGCTGGAGGCGCGGCCGTGCGGTAGTTCTCGCTGAATGCTCGCCAGAGTCTGCACGCCCGCTTAAATTCCCAGCGTTCCAGGGCAATCTTGTACCAAAACGCGCGCTCGTGTGTTTGAGTGCAGTGTCTGGGTCGTGGACTAGAGGCCTCTTAGAGGGGCCTCCTGGGGTCTCTTGAGGCCTCTCGGGGGCCCCTTGGAAGCCTCTTGGGGGCCTTTGGGGGTCCTCTTGGAGATCTCTTGGGGCCTTTTGGATGCCTTTTTGTGGTCTCCAGGGAGCTTGCTGCTGGTCTCGGGGGCCATCCTGGGGGGAAGGGCTCGCATTGGCAGTTTGGATTCCCTGTCTTGGGCGTCCCTTTGGGCCACACTGGGGGCCTCTTAGGCCCTCTTGGGGGCCTTGCGGGCCGTCTTGGGGCGCTATAAGAGGCCTCTTGGGCCGTCTTGGACGCTCTTGAGACAGAAAAGCAGCGACTTCGCCAGTGAAGACATGCCTCCAGTAGGACGAGTGAGCACAACGAGGCAGACACGCCAAATGCGCGCCACATCGGGCGACAGACACGCCAAACGCGCGGATACGCGGTTGCGACGCGCCAAACGCGTTTTGGGAGGACGATGACAGGAGGAGGGAGATGACGCTGCTGATGACAATCCAGATGCATGACAAATATTGTGTCACCCCATAAAAATTATGTTGACAAAGTATTCAATCAAAGCTGTCATATTTCACTTTGTACTACCACTACACATTTGTCAAGTTACCAATCTTACAAGCAGCGACTACTAAACTACTATAAGACACTTTGCCGTTTCAAATGGTTTTGATCTCAATGGGTACCTGGAGCCTCCAAGGGGTCCCGTGAGTACCGTAGGCTTGGTACCGCGGCGGTGCAGTGGGGTACCGTGGCAGTACCGTGGCAGTACCATGGGAGCGATACCGTAGCAGCACCGTGGCAGGAGCGCGGGAGCGATACCGTGGCACCCAGGAGGCAATGCTTGTGGAAGGGGGAAGACCCCGCAGGACTTTGGCAGTACCATGGGTAGGGTCAGCGGTGCCGAGGCGGTGCCATGAGACGAGAGTCACATTTGGGATACGATTACCCTTCATCCTCGAATGTGCGCTAGGCTAAGGCGAGAGTCCCACTTTGCAGACGTCCTCCATCCGTGAAACTGTTGCAGTCTTTCAAGGCGAACGTGTGCGGAGCTTCGGCGAGAGCCCCACCGTGAAAACGACCCCCCTCCTCCAGCAGTGCAACGGTTGCAAATTTCAAGCTTCAGGATCATTAGTAGTGGTAAGGGTGTCTCAGGCGAAACGCCTTGCCCGCCCTACCAACACGTCTGGGTGTGTGACAAGGAGGAGCGATCCAGTTTCGCTGCCGCGCGGTTTCGCCATCGCGCTCGGGCGGGCGCTGGGGGTGCGCCCGGTGGGTTGGGAGGGAGGGGTCGGCGGGAGGGGGGGGCGCGCCCAGGGAGGAGTCTTGTCTTTGGACCTGGCTCATCGCACTGTCGTTTTTGGTTTCATTTGTCGGTCGGAAGGAAACAACGCTGGAAGTTGGTGAAACTAATCAGAGGATGCTGGGTTCGATACGTCGGGGGGCTTCACTCAAAGGCCAGACACACACACACACACTTACCGCTGCAAGCGCGGTGGCGGATCTATCATGAAACGGCGTGGAGACGCAGGAGGAGGACGTGGGGGAGAATGAGGAGGAAGAGGAGAAGACTGATGAGGATAATGAGAGGGGGAGGAGAATGAGGAGGAGGAGGAGGAGGAGGAGGAGGAGGAGGAGGAGAAGAAGGCGGAGGAGGAGGGGGAGGAGGAGGAGGAGGAGGAGGGGGAGGAGGAGAAGGAGGAGGAGGAGGAGGAGGAGGAGGAGGAGGATGGGGAGAATGTGGGGGAGAATGGGGAGGATGTGAGGGGCGGAGCCCGCGCCCAGCGCGAGGTCAAGACCGGCTCGCTGAGAGTAGGCATCAGGGGCAGCGCCGACCCCATCGTCGAGGGGCGCTTCGACGGCAAGGCGTCCTGCGCCCCTGCCTTGCCTCGTCATCGCCGCTTCCGCCGCCGCCGCCGCCGATGTCGCCGCCGCCGCCGTCGTAATTAGTCTTCTCTATTGCCCACCCCTCTCCCGCTCCTCAGCCTCGCGGTCCCCGTCGTCCCTGTCGTCGTCGTCGTCGTCGTCGTGCTCCCGCTCCTGCTCATGCTCCTGCGTCTGCTGCTCCTTGTTCTCCCCCTCCTCTCCCAGGCCGCGGAGCTCACCTGCCAGGTGACTCGCGGGGGCGCGAAGATGATCGCACTTCTCGCGTCGCAGTCTGGGCCAGAACGATAGCCCTGTCCCATGCGGCGGCGCGAGGGCGCGAAGCTCATCGTGCGTCGCGCTCCGGAGGGCGCGATGCGCGTAGTCAGGCGACCGACCTGGCACCTCCCACACGCGGCCCCCGTCGGGAGCGGTCGGGCCGGCGCCCGCGCCCGGTGGCGATCCCAGAGGGGCTGCCGCACTGCCCGTGGTGTCGCGCCAGCAGCCCACCACCTGACGCCGCTGGCGGCTGCGCTGTTTCCCGGGGGGGCTGCGACGACACTGTTGGCAACTAGACCAAAGAGGAGAAGCTGATGTCTCCGCTCTACGTAGCAGGAGTGGGCAACGGCTCACAGGTGGCCCATTTGGAGGTACATTGCCCTATTGCGGTTACCATCCGCGATGGCTTGATCACCCATCACAGCATTCGTGCACCTGCCGTGGAGGGCGACGGCTTCGATCTCACTGCCTTCTTTTGTCGGCAATCCATGCAGTCCAACAGCGAGGTTGTGGAAACAGGCGTAGCACACAAACGCCTCGCGTTTCCCGGTTCTGGATGTTGCGAAATCAAGTGGAACCCATGCAACATACGCGTCGACCTAGACTCGCTTCCAAGTGGCACCCTATGCGCACCAGTAGACAATTTTGACCAGCTCCAACCACCGCCTGGAGGACCACCATACAAGCAGCTGACACTGCCAGCAGTGGGCAACAACAACCAGGACAACTAACTCGACGCCGCCCCCGAGTTTAATAATCTCAAAATCTGGTTTCTCAGCCCCGACGCACACACACACACACACCAGTGCGGGGCACACTTGATGCAACAGGCTACGACCTGTTCGCCTGCGCGACCGTCAGCGTCGCGACCTGTGGCCGCGAACTGGTGCCTACGGGCGCGGCCGCTTTTGCACCACCGGGCGCCTACCTACGGATTGCCCCCCGTTTAGGACTGGCCATCAAGGGCATCGGCGTCGTGGGTGGAGTGGTGGTCCCCGATCACCGCGGCGAGATCAAGGTGATCATGCGCAACGCTATCCCGCGGACGTTCGTGTTCGAGCAGTGCCAACGGATCGTCACATTCATCCTGGGACGCATCATCACGGACTCGATGTCGCGGTCGTTGCCAAGTTTCGTCCATCTTCCCGCAGCTCCAGGGGTTTCAGTCATAGTGGCATGAAATAGCTCAGCTACGACCCAATCTCGCAGGAATCTAGCACCACAACATCCACACGGTACGAGGGTGACAATGTGCCGAAGACCCCGCGCAGTCACCACCAGTAGGATGAGCAAGGGTCCGCCCGCAATGCTGGCCCAGCTGGGCCGGGCCGTCCCGCTTGGGTCCTGGGGAGAGGAAGGGGCAAGACCACGGGTACGACGTCAGCCGCTCCTTCGCCTACGAGGACACCATCAGGTCACTGACTGACGGCACCCAACGCAGATACTAGCATGCTGCGGATCACGTGCGACACGAATCGGGACAGAGTGCACCGCATGTTGCCTGTCACTATCCCCGTCTGGCGCGGGCGGGTCAAGGACGCTGGCGCCGGGATTGTGATCTTCGGTCGGCACGGGCCCTACTGGGGGCGCCCAACGGTGCAGCAGATGACCCGCGCCAACGTGCTGCACTTCAGCAAGCACAGCGTGTGCCACGAGCTTCTGGCGTGTACCTTGCCCTGATGTGCCGCGTGCGCCATCGGCGGATCGCGGCTGCAATTTCAGCGCCAGGCTCGAGAGCTACTTCCTTTCCTGTGCCCCGGCAACTGGCAAGCACGACGCCGGGCGGCGCGCCGCCGACCAGAACGCCAAACAATGCGCCCTGGACCACGAGCGCAAAAGTACCACGCGCGGCGCTGTACCTTTGAGTTTGCGCGAACAACCACAGGCATCCGACGGCGCGTTGTCGACGCCTACCCCGCGGCAGAGCGCATGCGCCAGGCAGCGAAGATAAAGGAGGACCACTGCGACAACTGCGGCACCGCCCTCCCGGGCCTGGCCCCGCGCCCCCGCGGCCTCCCTGTCGCTGGCGAGCCGGGGCCGCGCCGGCGAGTGCGACGACGGCGACGGCGACCTCCAGGACGGCCTCGCTTCAAGTTTGCCAACTCGGTTGTCTCAGGTTTCGTCCGCCCCGGCATCGGATCGCCATCTGGCGAGCGCACGAGAGTCGCAGTCCGACGTGTTCGACGACATTGGACACCTTCACCCGCCCGCCTCCGTCGACCGCGCACTAACATGGCGGAGATGTGCGGCGGGGGGGCTCGGTCCAGACATTTTGCCGCCCGCCGCCGCTTCGAAGTGGGCGCCGACGTCGACTGAGTGACTGGCTGCTACTTCGAAGTCGAGTGCCGGTGGATTGCCGTGGAGCGCTGCATCGTTCACGCGTGAGGAGGCGACGGGATGTGGCATTCGTGGTGCCGCATGCATGGGTGCGGGCAAATGTCGCAGCGTTGGTGAACAGAGCTGCCGCGTGCTCGACGCTGTGCGCCTATCGCGCAATCTCGTGCGCGGATCACCCCTCGGCTCTGAGTGGCTCGCAGCATGTGGGCCAGCGGGCGGCCTGCAGGCGCGCCACTTGGCGCCCCGCTAGATGGCGCGCGGGCTGCGCGGGCCCGCCTCAGCAGATGAGATCAAGTGGCTGCTTGGGTAGGGGGGCTGCGCTATACCGGCCGAGCTGGCCGTGGACGGCGCGCCCATCTCCTCCGCCTTGGCATGGCCGTGGAACGCGCGGCCGCCGAGGAGATGGCGCAGCGGGCCGCCGCCCAACGGTGGCTAGCAGAACGGCCGCGCGCCAAGACAGGTCTCCGACGTGCCGTGGCGCGACGCCCGCGACGCGAGGGCCGACCCCGCGACGAAGGGGAGTGCCGGCGGGGAGCTCATCCTCGAAATCGTGGATGGGAGGCCCGCCTGCGAACGCCCCGCAGAGAGTTTGAGCGAGGGGCGGCGCGAGCGGGCAGCGCCGAGCTCCCGCCGCAGCGACCTCAACGTGGGGCAACGACGACGCCACTGAGTCACCCACTTGGCGTCGCGCGTCCGGATTGTGTTCTCGAGTGCAACGACCGACCTGCGCGTCGCGAACTGTCTTCGCGAGCGCGGCGCAGTCAATCAGGAAGAGAGGAATGCAGGGGGGCGAATTTCTTGAACTGCGTTCGCGGATGCGACGCGGCAAGCGAGAGTGTTCTGGACAAGCGAGGCATGCCAGCGAGAGAGCAGTCACCGCGAATTGTATTCGTGGGGCGGCAGGTTTTGGGCAGTAGAGCGCGCGAGTGAACGGTTGCTAGCTGCAACCGAGTATTTTGCATCCTGGCGTACTTGTAGTATTGTAGTATAGGGACCTAGTCAGGAGAGGGCGTTCTGTGCCAATGCCCCTCTCCTGTGCGCAGTTTTGGTGAGGGGCGCGGTCGGCGTGATGTTTTTTCCAGCATAGCTATTCCTTGTGCTTCGCTGACTTGGACGTTGTTTGCTCGCCTGAACTGGCGAGGCGCTAACGTGCCCGCTCGAGCGCAATATTCGAGAGAGCGTGTGTTATACCGCTGCTGGCGGAATCCCGGGGGGGGGTCGCTGGGCCCCCCCAGCCCGTTCCCATGCCCCCCCCTCGAAAATTGACGGGGGCCAGTGCCGGCTTGAACCCCCCCCCCAGTCCATCATGAAAAGGGCTTCGACTTTGGCTCGTCGGACTGACGTTCATTGAGGGTCGGCGGCGCTGTGTTTCCGCGAGGTGCCCTTGCCGATCCGCGCTCCTGCGATCGCCTCCATTTTCTCTTCGATCGTGGTGGGGCTCGCTCCTGCGGTTGTGGTCGCACCTGGGTGCGCTCTCCGATCTGCTCCGATATGCTCCTCCTTTTCCTCCTCCTCCTCCTCCTTCTCCTTCTTCCCCTCCCCCTCCTCCTCCCCCTCCTCCTCCTCGCCCGCCTCCTCCTCCTCCTCCTCCTCCTCCTCCTCCTCCTCCTCCTCCTCCTCCTCCTCCTCCTCCTCCTCCTCCTCCCCATCCTTCTCCTCCTCTCCCCCTCCTCCTTCCTCCTCCCCCTCCTTGTTCCTCCTTCTCCTCTTCCTCCTCCCCCGCCTCCTCCTCCTCCCATCCTGCTCCTCCTCTCCCCCGCCTCCTTCCGTCCGCCCCCTCCTTGTTCCCTCCTTCTCTCTTCTTCCTCCTCCCCCGCCTCCTCTCGACCTTTCCCTTTCCTCCTCCATCCTACTCTCCTCCTCCTCCTCCTCCTCCTCCTTCCTCTCTCCTCCTTCCTCCTTTTCCTCCGCCGCCTCCCCCCATCCTCTCCTCCTCTCCTCCTCCTCCTCCTCCTCCTCCCTCCTCCTCCTCCCCTCCTCCTCCTCTCCCTCCCCCCCGCCTCCTTTTTATGCGTTGGGCCTACCTATGTATGGGCTTCCCTCTCCTCTTCCCTCCTCGCTCCTCCTCCTCCTGTTTCTTCCTCCTCCTCCCCCCCCTCTCCCTCCCCCCTCCTGACCTCCCACTCCTCCTCCTCCTCCTTCTCCTCTTCCGTTTCCTCCTCCTCCTCCTCCTCCTCCTGCCCCTCCTCCTCCTCCTCCTCCTCCTCCTCCTCCTCCCCCTCCTCTTCCTCCTCCTTCTCCTCCTCCTCCTCCTTCTCCTCCTGTCGGCCTGCTTTTGTCGGCGCGCGCCCGCCCCTCGCGGCGGCCGCAGGTGGAGCCCGAGGGCGAGAACTTCGCCTGGCGCGCCCGCGCTCCGCCCGCCACGCCTTCGCGGGGCCGGTCGAGTTCCCGGCGGCGCCCCCCCGAGGCCGAGTTTGACGAACGAACGACGCCCGGGGTGCATCGACGAGGAACAAATCGTGCGAAGCCACGAGGCGAGGCGACGCTCGACCCCGAACGCACACCGCTGTAGGCGCGGGGGTTCGGGAGGGGAGTTTTTTGCGGTGGCGCTCGCGCGCGCATGGCACGCCCACCGTCGGGGGGCCCGCGCTCGACAGCGTGTCCTCGCGGCCCGACGGCATTCTCGTCCTCCCGTCGCTTTGTCGGCGGTGATGCTTCGTGCCCATACCCGCACAAAGGGACGGAGGGGGCTATGGGTGCGTGTTGTCGGACGGGGGCCCCCGTTCGCAAGGGAGCCTCCTCCAAGGTCCGACATCCCGCACTCATACCCGTAGCCAGTCCTCCTGCCTCCGACCCTCCTGTGGGTGTGGGCGCGTGCTCTTCGTTCGTCCGAATTGGCGGGAGGAGGGCCAGTTGAGACAGCGACAGTTGTTCTTCGGGGGGGGGCCCTCGTCGCCACGGCCGCACGCCGCCCGGAACATCTGGTGGGGTTGGTCCCTGGGGAGGGCCGAGGGACAGATGTTGAGCCGCCGCCAAACTCCGAGGAGTGGCGGGGGGGTGCACGCGCGCTCTTGCAGTTCATGGCACCCGAGGATTTTCGTGTGCCTGTATATGCCACCCTGTCCATCTCCCAGGGGACAAGAGAGGAAGGAGAGGCTGGAAAAAGGGACGCGGGGTAAAAGTGGTGGTGGTGGTGGTGGTGGTGGTGGTGGTGGTGGTGGTGGTGGTGGTGGTGGTGGTGGTGGTGTATATTCTTGGCGTCCGTGTTGGGGGGGAGAGCTTTTCGAGCCGCCGCGCGCTCCTGGACGACATCCTGTCAATCGCGCACTGCCAGGCTTCGGGGGGGCCAAGGCGCGGCGCCGCCGCGAGGTACGTAGATGCAGACGAGAGGCCGCCGGTGCTCGAGATGTGCCTGGACAAGGCGCTTCGCTGCTGTTGCTACGGCAGATGATCCTCCAGGAAACCTCATACGTATACACCTTATGGGATTGTGTATCCTCGCATTTTCTCACAGTCGGTAGCTTTTGCCAGGGTGTGCGTCGATATTTGACTGTGACATGTTCGATGGACATAGCCTGGCTGCTGGTATGGCCTGGCGCCGGGTCCAGCGCTTGGCTGGGGCTTACCGGAGGGAGCGACGGAGGACACGAGAGGGTGAGGAGCGGGAGTGGGATGAGGGCGGGGCGGGGACTGATCTGCTCGATCCCGATGCTGTTCCCCAATTCTCCCCATGCTTTCGGGTGTTTTCGGGCGCTTCTCGGCGACGTTGCAGCCTCTCGGGGTGTTCTGCAGTGGGAAGGGAGACGGGGGGGAGAGGAGGAGGGGTGGGCGCCGGCCCGCGGAGGGGGGATGAGATGGGGATGCAATCAGGGGCGAGGATCGATGACTACAGAGGGTTCGGTCATGCAGGGGTGTGGCTTACGATCGGCGCCGTTTGGGCGTAGGGGCCCTCGTCGGGCCTCGGCAGAGATCCTTGTCGAGGTTCTCGCCTTCCTCCCCCCCAGCGCGGGTTGCAAGCTGCTCCCTTTGCGTTTTCAAACCGCACCTTCCGGAGTCCCCGAGATCAGGGGCACCGTGAGGGGGGCTTGCCCAGGGGTTTTCGGAAGTCTTCGAAGGCGGCGTTAGGAAGTTCCATCAGGGTGATTTCCATCAGCTGCGCCTCGTCGAGAGGGTTCCAGGGGTGCTGGGTCGACTCGAACGGCCGCTGGAGAGCCGACTTGTGGCCCGAAAGCCAACAGGCCCGAGGCAACGTTCGGTGGGCATAGTCAGGGGGGGAATGCATCGACCCCCAATCGCCCACTCATCACCGATAGAGGCCCCGATAGGGGCCATATGCCATGCTGGCACACCGCTCTCTGGGGCGGCTACACAGGATGGGGCCCTGTAGCTTGGTCTCCACAGATGTCGTCGGTCCTGGTCTCGGATGAGCCAGTGCGCCACTTGCGGGGTGGCATCGTACCAGCCTGCTACTCCACGCCCGATCCTCCCGGCAGCGCAGCTGCAGCGCAGCTTGAGCGCAGCTGCAGCGCGACGAGCAGATTTCTGGACGGCGACGGGCGAGCAGGTGCCGGGCTGCCGGGAGGGCGGCGCGGGCCATCCCAGGGAGAGCACCGGAGCAGGCGGGGGTGTGCCCAGCCTGCCCCTGCTGGGGCGCGCGATTTTAAGATGGCGCCCGCTTGCTATGTGGGGGCCTGCCTGGGCAGAAGCATCCCCCGCTCCAGGGCTGCGGGAGGGGGGGCAGGTCGAGTCGAGACGGGGCGAGTGCCACCGCCCCCCAGGGTCAACGTTAGGGGGGGATAGCCTCAGGGGGAATGCGTCGACCCCCTATCGCCCATTGATCGCCGAGAGGAATCCTGTTGTTTGTTCCAGCCCGCCCAGGATCGTGCGGATGCCCCATCCGAGGCCTGTCGCCGATCTCTCGCCGATGTATCGCCGAATCCAGGTCGATGTTTCCCCCGTGCTGGTCCCCCTCTAATGTGCCCCTTCACCCTCCTTCACTACCTCCTCCCATGTGGCAAGCCGTGGGGAGGCGCTGTCTGAGCTGTACGCCAAGAGCTCCTACACCGAGGTCCTGTGGCTCAGGCGCGTGCCTTGGAAGCGGAGCAGGAGGAGGAGGAGAAGGAGGAGGATGAGGAGAATGAGGATGAGGATGAGGATGAGGAGCAGGAGGAGGAGGAGGAGGAGGAGGAGGAGGAGGAGGAGGTGGAGTGGTGGAACTGTCGCCACGGCTGAATCCAGTTCAAAATTCTGGTCAGAGCCCCCCCAGCCGAAAGAGGTCCCGGGAGTGGCGGTATCGGAATTTTGGCGACGCCGATCTTGGTCACGGTCCATGCCAGGCGTCGCCGATCCGCGAGGATGATCCACGAACCGACAGTGACCAAGATGGGCGGTGACGGAGATTGGCGCTGCTGTTTCCGCGCTCAGTCGTGGTAATGGTCACCGTCTTCTTCCCTTCCAGTATCAGCATATTTTCTTGATAACATTTCGCCGGGGGGGGTCTGATAGTAGCATTAAAGGACCGCAGAAACGCCCCACAGGGTGGACAGGGAGCCCCTGACCGCCCCAGATCGTCCAGTCTGGCAGCCGCTCCGCCTGATATCTCTCAGCAATGCATTAAGGAATCGTGTATTCGCCTCGATGTCAGCTGTCTTTTTGGTCCAGACGGCCACGATCTCTGGGAACACAGATATCTGCAGATGCACACGGCCGTGCTCTCACCCGTGTCCTGGCACGTTTCATTCCCCGCCCTGCTACCGCTCGACCCGCTTCGTCACCTTTGCTGCTACAATCGGACAAGAACGGCATAACCATCGCGGTGGTCCCCGCGGACCTGCGCAAATCTATGCTTGTGCCGTTTTTTGTTCTTCTTGCTGGGGTAGCTTTGGTTCCCCCCTCGCGCAGTGTGCGCATGCCCTCCGCCGGAGCAGCCGCAGCAGCCGGCGGCGGCGACGGCGGCCCCATTCCCCCCGCAGAGGCTTTTCGACGACGACGCCCTGCTCGGGGCGGGGCTTTTCGACGCCGATTTGACCGACCTGCCCGCGGAGGGGGCATGGATCAGGGGCAACTGCTCTGGATGGGGTATTTGTCCAGGTGGGGTGATTGACCTTCCATCTGAGCTTGCCCATCCCCCCCCCCTCTCTCCTTCCTCCCCCTCCTTCTCATCCTCAACCCCCCTCCTTTCCCTCCTCCTCCTCCTCCTCCTCCTCCTCCTCCTCCTCCTCCTCCTCCTCCTCCTCCCTCATCTCAGGAGGGAAAACACAACGACACAGTTAATCGTCGATTCCCAAGAAAAATGGGGACATGTGGGAAGTGGGGGGGAAGACGAAAATCCAATAAATATGAAAGAATTGGAAATCCTTGGATTTGTGACGTGATTTGTGTGTATGTATTTGTGTGTGTCGCTGGGCCCCTTCATCATCTTCCTCCTCTTCCTCCAACCCCCCCTCCACCTGTTCTGCAAGCACGTGCCCAGACCCCCCCCGCGGATCCAAAGGGGGGGGAATCATTGTCCCATCCACAGTAGGCTCGGGGTATGACGTTTCTGATTGGTTTAATTCCCAACTAGCCTGTTGTTGGGTCCTCGTTTTCGAGAGGCAGCGCCCCGCCTCGACTCGCCTCGCCTCGCCTCGCATCTCCTCTCCTCGCCTCGCCTCGCCTCTCCTCTTCTCTCTTCTCTCTTGTTTCTTCTCTCTTCTCTATTATCATTTCTCTCTTCTCTCTCCTCTCTTCTCTCTTCTCTCCTCTCCATTCCTCTTCTCTCCTCTCCTCCCCTCCCCCTCCCCTCCCCTCCCTCCCCTCCTCCCTCCCCTCCCCTCCTTCCTCTCCCTCCTCCTCCTCCTCCTCCTCCTCCTCCTCATCCTACCATCCCTGTCTATGCCCTCCGCACCTAGTGCAGCGTTTCGTGGCCCCATAGGGAGCTTCACCGAAGGCCTCAGTGGCGGTATTCGCATGCGTCAGCGTTTCGTGGCCCCATCGGGAGCTCCACGAGCTCCACCGAAGGCCCCAGTGGCGGTGTTCGCAGGCGTCTCCCCCTTCCAATGCAGCGCTTCGCGGCCCCGTGGGGAGCTCTACCGAGGGCCCCAGTGGCGGTGTTCGAATGCGTGTAAAGGCCCAGCAAAGCGGTTCGTGGCCCCATAGGGAGCTCCACTGAAGGCCCCAGTGGCGGCGTTCGCATGCGTCTCCCGCGCGCAGTACAGCCTTTCGTGGCCCCGCCTTGGGCAGTCGAGCTCGGGCCTTTCTCGAGCGGACGGTGCTCGCAGCGAGCGCCGCGCCGACCATGTAACAGAAGGCCGTAGTGGCGGTGTTCGCATGCGTCTCCCGTACCGTGTACAGCGCTTCGTGGCCCCATAGGGAGCTTCACCCAAGGCCCCGTTGGCGGTACTCGCATGCCTCTCCCCTACTCAGTACAGTGCTTCGTTTTCCCACCATGCACCAGGAGTTCGACCGAAGGCTCCAGCGGCTGTGGTCGCATGCGTCTTCCCTCTCCAGTACAGCGTTTCGTGGCTTCGTAGGGGACTCCACCGAAGGCCCCAGTGTCGGTGTTCGCATGCGTCTCCCCCCACCCGGTACAGTTTTTCGTTGACCCATAGGGAGCTTCACCGAAGGCTCCAGTGGCGCGCGTCCCACCTGAAGCCCCGTTGGCCCATTGGCAGCGCCCACATGGCGGCCCCGCCCCATATCGGAACACCCTTCGCATGCTTCATGGCCCCATGAGGAGAACCCCCGAAGGCGATACTCGCAACGACCGTACTCACAACTGCATATGATTGGGTCTTTCGCCAGGATAGTCGTCCTTGTTGTCGCGTTACGGGCCAGCCCCCTCCCGCCACCTTCCCCAGAACGCGCTCCCAGAGAGGTGCAGGTGCCCGATGGTTTTCCGTCAGCTGCGCCTTGTGCAGGGACTTCGGGTACCAGGGGGTCGTCCCGAATGGCTGCCCGAGGCCCGAGATGTGGTCCGAAAGCCGTCCAGGGGGAGGAGCCCCTCCCTCCCATCCCTTACACCATGGCGTAGATCTTCTCTATATATTCGCACAGTCGGATCTCTTAGCAGGGCATAACATTACATGGCATAACATGGTGTTGAAAATCAACGCCTAGCCTGACATAGCATGGCGTGGAGACGCCCCAAAGTGGTGGGGGGCTTCTGCGGCCCCAGAAATCAGCGAATCGACACCGAATGGACCGAACGCCACGCCGTGGCATGGCGCTGGAAATACTGACGCCAGCGCTGCAGCGGGCACACGATTCGGAACGAGCGGAAGCGAGGAAATGAGGCCATCGCTGCAGCGGGAGCACGATTCGGAGGACGCGTAGCCTGACATAGCATGGCGTGGCGACGCCCCCAAGGGGGTGTTCTGCGGCCCAAAAAATCAACGAATCGGCACCGAATGTGTAATCACTTCCGATGGTTGTTTCGGGTGGCATTTTTTTTAGATTTTTTGGCGTGTTTGGAAGGACCGACAAACATGCAGTGGTATGGCGCTGGAAATATTGACGCTAGCGCTGCAGCGGGAATACGATTCGGAACGAGCGGAAGCGCGGAAATGAGGCCAGCGCTGCAGCGGGAGCACGATTCGTAGCAGTAGCTCGAACATAAAGCCAGCCCTTCAGCGAGAGCAG